ACCGTAATTAAAATTTTATTAATTAATTTTTTAAATGTAATTTTTTAATTAATTAGGATTTTATAACTTAAGATTTGATAACAAAGTTTTATTGTCAGGACAGCTGTACTGTACGTACTGAGTGTACATACTGGTCTCTGGGATTTATTGTGAGTATTTTGGAGAGGTCCTGAACACAAACCACGTTCTGTATTTTTAAGGCTGTACAATTGTTGTCCAGGCTTCATAGCAAAATAGATCGAAAGACCTGATGATTCACAGACAAACTGTGGGTGCTTTTGTAAAGCATTTGGAGTTTCAGCTGGTTCTCTGAACCTCCTGAAGCTTCCCTTGCAAGCCAGGAAATGGCCTTTAACTTCTGTTCCTTACCCAACATTGCAGAGAAATCAGGAAAGGAAACGTGGGAGTGGCACTGGGAGAGTTTCTAAACAGATTACGGGACACCATGGGCAGAAAAGTGGATTATGGGCTCATTGGTGATCATGGAGTGGTGCATCCCAGCCTCCAGGTAAGGGGAGCAGGCCTCACAGTGCTCTGGCGTCAGGTCCAGGAGCAGTGAGACTTCCAAATCCAAGCAGATGTTTATAGCATGTCAAGGATGAGGACCTAGGTATGGATGTGTTATGGGTACAGAGCAAGGTGCAGTGGAGGCTGCTCGAGGTCTGTATTTGTACCAAATCCAGGTTTAGAGCCATTTTAGTAATTTATGTAAATTGAGCCTTCATGGTATTAAGGTCTTTGTTTGTTATGGTCTGTTGCTCGTTGTACACTCAGTTTACAAAACACAGTAATAGTAACACAGTTTTAGGGAAGAATTTCTGAGACCTACTTGATTAATCACTTAGTAAATAATATTTATGACCAAAGATGAACATTCTGTTAATAGAAGAAAGCTAGAGTGTATTTTCCTAGGATGTGTGAGCAATTTGCCAGGCTGCCATGGAGTGATTTTTACAGTTCTGTGAGTGTCCCTGTCCTTCAGGTCAGATATTCCTGGCACCCAGGCAGGAGGGTTTGTCAGGACTCCCTGTCTGTCCCCTTCCCAAAAGGAAGCTGAGCAGTCGGGCCCCTTGGGGGGGGAACCTGCTGCGTCCAGGGCAGGGGCTCTGACCTGGCCAAGTTGAGGGTCCAGTTTCCTCTAAATACCTTCAGAGCCACTTGCCTTCATCCACAGTACACAAATCAGTTGTGGTCATGAATTAGTCAAAGCCAAATATGACATGGGATGTTTTCTCCTTGCTTCACAACAGAATTTGAGACTCTTGGTGAATTCACACTGTAGTCCCAGGTAACTGTGGTTCCCAGGGGTCTCAGAACCTGCAGCACTTTGGCTGAGGTTTGCTGTGCAGAATTAAAAGTCGCATAAGATTTTTTCAAACTATTATTTGCATAAGCATAAAGACTATACTGAAAAGTTATCAGAAGTGAAATTTAGATGATTATAATGCCTATTTTATAGAGAAAGTGTAATGCCTGTCTGGCTTTCAGCAGCGAATTGGATGAATGCTAAAAAAACCGTGCTTGCCAAGAGGAAATCTGGTGTTAGTCGGGCTTCAGCATACCAGGGCTGCAGCTAAACAGCGATTCATCCTCTCAGAGAACCAACATTTTATAATCCTGTTCCTTCTAGGTAAATAGGGAAACTGTTCCTCCTTTTTAGCTGGGAAGAGAGACGGAAAATGGTGCAAGATCTTAAAATCTTAAAAAGGAATTCTGTTCCATGACTAGAAGTTGATAGTAAACACTGCATTTAGCAGAGAACAGGAATGCCAGTTTTTAGAGAGGGAACACTCACTCCTGTGGTGGGGCAGAGTCTTGGGGCGTACATTGTTGTCTCCTCCAGCAGAGCTACCTGCTGGTCCTTTGACTTGGTGTCCGTCGTTGTGTTGTTCTGACGGCTCAGGCTTGATTCCAGAGCACTTACTGGTGTCCTGCTGCATTTCACTGGCAAGTTAAGAAAGGGAAATTATTTTTGTGCTGGTTGAGAATTCTAAGTTGTCTTGGCTACTAAACCCAGCAGCAGCAGCGCTGGCCTCCCACAGCAGCCCAGGACCCTGCGGGCAGAGCAGCAGCTTTCTCACGAGACAAAGGTCACCAAGGTTTTGGGCTGTGGGCTGTGCAGCCCTGGAGTAGCTCGTGCTGCCCAAGGGGACTCCCCACAACTCGAGTGTCCCGTGGTAAGGGGCAGGCGTGAGCTTGGTACTTTGGAAGGCTACTCAGATTGTTGTATATTCTTTTCTATTTTATAGGAAAGTGGCAAGAAACTCGAAGAAAATATTTATTATTTTGGAACTACAGTGAGAGGCCTGCTAAGTAGGTTTGGGAAGGTAACTTATTTTTTTCAGTTATCTTCATTATCAGATAGTTCATCCTCAACCAAATTGCCCTCACTAGTGTCTGGAGCGGAATGGGTGTACAGCGAGAGCCAGGACTACTTCTGCATCCTTGGCGCAGCTTTTGAACAGCCTCTGTGTATTTGGTGCTTTGATTTCAGTGATTGGGGCAGTCACTGAGGGGGTTTCAAGATGCAGCAGCTTTACTGTTGGCTGCAGCCAGACAGGTTGTTAGAAGGTGGAATGTAATCTGAAATTTAGTAGTTTAAATGTAGCTAATTCAAAATTTAAAAGCTGGGACATAGTTAATCCAAAATTTTCTTAGTCTAGAAATTCCATATATCACCCCACCTGTCTATGCTAAATAAGTAAGAACCTAAATACAAAGTATGAAAAAAAAAATGTTTGGTTAAGGTTTTATAATGACAAATTACAAGGTAAAATTGTTTGTACTCTTCCAGACAATAGTGGATGAGCAGTTGGTCCTGAAGAGAGTAGCAGATATAGTTATTAACTTATATGCGATGACAGCGACCATCTCCAGAGCCAGCAGGTCCATCAGCATTGGGCTGAGGAACCACGACCACGAGGTGAGGCTGCTTTAATACCAGCCGTAGCTACTCGCTGGCTGCGCTCCAGGGGTCATGCAGCGCAACCAGCAGCAGCAGTGAGCTGCTCTGCCTCTCCGAGGCCTGCGTGGGAGCTGGGGAAGAACTGGCTACGAGAGCCTGTACCCACAGGACGAGGGGTGGTGGGTTTAAGCTCAAGCAGGGGAGATTTAGATTAGCCGTGAGGAGGAAGTTCTTTCTATGCGGGTGGTGAGACACTGGCTGTCGCGAACCGATGCCAAAAAATCACCGATTTGTCAGGTTGTGACAGTCTGCCTCTCTAAATAGAGGGGCTTCAGATGAGACGTGGTACTTGTCTTCCAAGAGTAGGTCGAAGATACCCTTTCCCCACGCTCACAAAGTATCACCGAGGTCAAGGATTACTGAACAAACTGCTTAATTTATTTAGAAACATCACCAATCAAAACTTAAGGTTCAAAAAAGAAAATAGGTGTATATATATTAAAGAAAGGAAGATCCGGAGGGGTAGGACTAGTGAGGGGAGGGGTAGGATTAGTGAGAGGAAAT